GCCCTTCACCCTCAAAAAAAGAAACCTTTCCTCTTATTAGTCAATTTCAGATAGTTCTTTGCATATTTTATTTATTCATAACATATTTACTCAGTACCTATTTTGTGCTAGGCATTGTAAGCACCCAGTGGCAAAGGATACAGATATCATCCCTATGCTCAAGAAACTCTCCTCTTCTAGTGGGAGACACAAATATTAAAATCCATAATACTCCAAGTCATACTGGGACTTTCATTCAGAAAATAGAGAGACTGAGCCAGCGCTGTTCAGAGCTGCAGCTTTAAGCTCAGAATTTAGAACGAGGCCCAGAGACACAGGTGAGAGTTGAACTATGAGGGAGGGGAAGTGATAAGTCAAAGAATTCTATCTGTAGAGGGAAGAGAAGAAAACAGATAAAGAGAAGAATCAACAGGAGAAAAAGACCATGTGGCCCACGAGAGAATGGGAAAACAGCTGGTTCCTAGTTTCAGTCAACATATATCCTTACCATAAATCCCCTGTTCCACGAAAGTAACTCAAAGGAATTTCTGCCTCTGGCTGTTAAAAGCCCCCTTCCCATTAATGTAACCCATCAGTAGGTACAAATGTCAAGTCTGAGAACTCTCCTAACGCTCTGATACGAACTTGCATTCTCGGACAGCACCGCTGCACTCACTTGAGTGGGAGGAGAATAGCCCACCCACCCCCACCCCCAAAGAGTGCATGCAGACTCAGAAAGATGACCCAGGAAGAAAGATGACACTGGGCAGCCCAGGAACAAACGTCTACTCTCAGCCACTGCACACTAAAACTGTCCACAAATTCTAAACTGTGTGTGATTTGGAGTCTGTGGTTTACATCATTTCATTTACATTACTGTCTACTTCACTTACATAGGTCTCATTCTATAAGGTGGGTTCTCAAAGACGTGGGGTCTCAAAAACTCACTTTTTTTTGCTTTCATAAAGTCCCAAGTGAAAGAACCTTCTGAGGACCCTTGGACAGAGGGTCCAGACTATGGGAGTCAGGACAACTAAGCCCGGAAAGAAAAAAAACCAGGTAAGCAGCCCCCACTAAAGGGTATCATTTGAATAAGGTTTCTATCCACTTCACTGTTCCACATGTTACACTGTCACACTGCAGATAAAATTAAACATACACTTTATTACGAGTCATTTTAATAAAGTACTCCTCTTTGCCAATGGACAGAACTTGTATCTATCAGCACATGGCTGTTTGCTCAAGCCTCAATCATTTCTAGGAAATGGTATTTTTGCACCTGCTAAAAAGACAGCTATATGATGAAGATGATTTGAAACTGCTTTTACACTTTCAAAAGCACCAAGCAAAGCAAATTTCAGCTTCTGAATGAATACTGACATATGCGTCTTATTTTCAATGAAGAAGAATTTCACAGCCTGTATATCTGTGACAATTTTTCTTTTCAACTGTTTAGGAAATAACACAGCTGATAAGACCAGAGTGTTAGAATGTGAGTATGAGGGCATACATTTTTTTAAGAAATGATACATGAAATTCAAAGAGAAGCAGCCCCATGAGTTATGCAAATAAGCTTTGCCGAGTTTTCAAAAATTTCAAGGTTCAAGTCTAAGTCTAATTAGTTCCTTACTGTGCCACACGTGAGACTTCCAGCATGGGATATGGATTCAGATAGCTATTTAATCAGCAGCAGAGGGTGTGGGTAAGGGGACGGTCACAGGCAGTGAAGAGGGACCCACTCAATGATACCATGCCCTTGGTGAATGCCTGAGATAGGTGTTTGCCAAGTTCTTCCACAGCAGACGCCTCTGGCATACTGTGATGGGATCTTTCCTTTAGCTGAGGTGGGCGGAAAGAATGCGGCTGCTGAAGTAAATACACCATGAGCAGAGGAGTCAAAACAAACTCTTGGAAAACCAGGGACAGCAGGTGCCTTTTCTGCATAAGCTTTTTGGGGGAGATGAAATACTAAAGCATTATAAATGTAAGAAGAGTGAAAACCAGGCCTCCAGCTCATCCAGTGGTTCAGAGAACGAGATGACAGGAACCAGGGAAAGCAAAGACTGATGCTGAATTCAGTGGAAAGGAAGATCTGACATATCTTTTAAGAAAATCTTAAGTACTTAACATTAAGATCTGTCCGGTTGTCCATTCACAGAGCCACACAAAGTTTCCCAGGGAAGGTACCTGAATCAAGGCAACTATCCTGATCTGCCTGGGACTGAGTGTTTTTGGGTGCTTGGGACTATCAGTGTCTGAATCTGGACAATCTGAGGGGAAGTGGGACAGCTGGTCACCCTAGTTTTTACAGAAGATAAAGCACTTCTCAGTTCCTACATCAAGAATTGGAGTAGGTTCTATTTATTTCTTTTACATTCCTTTGTGGGGGAGATGCTGAGACAAAGTGGACACAAGTCTTTCTTTATGACTATGAAATCCATCCTTTCTAGCATAGAGGGGAGGGTCTCATGAAACCTAACATATAATTTGTAATATGTTTTATCTAGGATATTGCCATTGAATATTTCCTAATAAAAAGTTCATAAAACTTAGAAATTAATTTTGCAATTTAAACTTTTTTTTTTTTAAAGTTGGTGCATTACAGAAGACTTGCTAGGCAAGAGATTAAATACATATAAACTCTCCCATGGGGTGTGCAACACTTTACATTTATTTATTGTGCATAGATAAAACCTTAGGTGGTGCCTATTTCCTATTTCTAAGAGAAAAAAAGAAATAATAGGGGTAAGTACACTTTTTATTTCTTTGCTCCTAGAATACAGAGATCCTGAATCTGTTACCATTAAAAAAAAAAATGACTAGCAGATATGATTCTGTAAAATAAAATGGCTGAATGGCACATATGTAATGCCAATTATAAAATAACCAACTGATGTTTCTTTCATATCACAAGTGCATTCTTGATATTATCAAGGCTTTTGAAGTCCTGATTACTTAACTCACTGGTCAACTAGTGATGGGAAACTAGATGCTAAATTAAA